CTAGTTCTCAATCATCCACCAGATTTTCATTCATCTGCAAACACGGCATATAGGTACTGGAGCTGCTGCGGGAGATCGTTGATTTGAGTAAGAAATAATACTGGTCCAACTACAGTTTCTTGAGGCACGCACTGGTCGATGGGAACCAGTCTGTCAGGCAGTCATTACTCTGTACTCTAAACTTTCGTCCCATAATAAACTCGTGTGACCACTGAAGTAGCGTGCCGCCGATTCCGTAGATCCTCAGTTAACGAAAGAGCATCTCTTGGTTCACTCTTTTAACTGCCTTATTAAATTCGGTGTACACCACGTCACCATCCTTCCGTTCATTGAGAACTCATACCCACTGGTTGTTTGCGTGCATGAATTTGGTGAATCAGGATCGACCTATCGTGGAACCGTGTTGAGCCAGCGTCAAAACGTCTAGCGATTCGAAAAACGACAGCAGATCCGTTTCACAAGCTTTCCGAAAAGTTTAGATAATATCGAAGTCGAACAGATCGGTCTGTAGTCCTCTACTTTACTCGGATCACCACCCTTAAGAAGCGGTCTCACTATCGAGCATTTCCAGTCGTTGGGGACAGATCCTTCAGTGAGTGATTTATTGAACAGATTTGTCACGGCTGGTGAGATGACATTCGCTGGGGACCTGAGTATTAGTGGGTGAAGTCCATCTGATCCGGGGGCGTTGCACCATTGAGGTTGACGAGCAGCTGTTACGCTTCGACTGCATCACATTGTAGGCTGTCGAGCAATATTGTCGCAACCTGTGCCGGTATTCGAACAGGCGCCGTTTTAATGGAAAATACGGTGAGAAAGTGCGAAGCCAAGGTGTCCGCATGCTCCGCGATTGAAATGAGCGCATGTCCGTCCAAGCTCTCTAAGACCGGTAGGCCGCTCGCAGGTTTCAGTTGACGTTTCAAGCAGGTAAATATCCTTTTTGGGACGGTTGTGACCAAGGCTGCTAGCTACTCTATGAACTGCCGGCGTTTCTTGATCTTTACGACGTTACATATGATCCGCTGTTTCTTGTACACTGTGTAATCTTCATCACAACCTGAACTGATGTATCTATCCCAAAATTTGCGACGACGTCGTACAAACTGCCTAGATTCCATATCAAACCAATGCGGTTTGAGAGGTCCGCTTTTTGTATACTTCAGGGGAACGATCCGAGTACACAGCGAGTTAAGTTTCCCCTACATTAATGGCCAACGGGCCTCAAGTGACGCATCCTGTGATAGTGTCCACTCTGTGTGAGTTGCGGCTTGGACAAACCCGTTGAAGTCCGTCTTCCAATAGTTGTGTCTCGGCTTCCGTTGGTTGTAATGTGCTGACGACAATCCTATGCTTACTACAATGGAGCAGTGGTCACTGTTTGCCAGAGGTTCGAGGACTCTGAACTCTTTCAGCTTCTGCTGGTAGCTGGTAAACATTAGGTCCGGACAAGATGCCGAGTGCGGCATTACGCGCGTCGGTTTGATGATATGTTGTGTTGCCCCGATTTCAATAGTCATTTTAGCGAACTGAGCCACAAGGATGCAATGACTGGGAAGAAGTCGAACGAATGTCCCAAATATCTAGGGAAATTTAGATTCCCATCAGTAAGAAATGACGGCGGCTTATGTGTTTTTGCATATGTGGTAGCCAATCGTAACAACGGTTTGATTGGCTACGGTAGATAACATACTCTATTAGTTCTGCGCGTCTGAGGCGGAGTGTGCACCACAATTGCTCGCATAAGGTATCGTAGCTCCGATAATTGTTGGCAAGTTTGCCAGATAGTGACGATTTTATGTACAACAGAACACAAACGTGAGCCCTTGATGTTCGATCGCATCGTAAACAAGAATATCCTGACAACGTGCCTTCGGGGGGTATGACGTCGGAGTTCAGCCAAGTTACTGCAAGTCCTAAAACCTTCGGCCGCTCCGAGAGAGCGAAGTGGCAGAGTTCGTCACGTTTGTTCATTAGGGTGCAGACGTTGGCGAATGCCAAGCGGAAGTCCTGGGAGTTACTGTGGGGCGTGCCTGGAGCTTGAGCAACCGATTGGTATGGGTTCGTACACCCTTCTTGATCTCCCGAAAATTTGCACTTTGTAACTCAGTTTCACCTTCCTCTTTACGGCGTATGAACTCAATGACCGCAGTATTCAAAGGATTCCTGTTTTCGGGTTCCAAGTCTCGGCGGATGTGAACTTTTATGCCTTTCATCCTAGACAGACGAGACAGTATGAGCTGCGGTATATTGTTATTTGCAAAGGTGATTCTCAGGAGTGGACGTGACTGGTTAGTTTACTGGCCAATTCGGATTACATGTTTAATCGTCACACTGTCTTCGCCCACATCCAAGAGTCTATCGATGATCCCCTGGAGGAACTCAACATGTGATCCTAACGTATCTGAGTGTTTTCATCTTTTGACTTTGGTACGTGGAGGATCATGAGATTATGACGCTTCAGCGAAATCGGTGATGAACCTGTGGGAGCAGAAATAGAGGCGCTTATCTGATTGGGTTGTTGTTTGCCAGCAGGGGATGCTTGAACTCGAAAACGTGACCCCTTTCGCTTTTTTGGGTCCATGGATCCTCGGTGTCCTGAGGTTCACAGACAGGCTATGAAGAATTAACGGACCGGCTAGTGAAGCGGCGTTTCGTAGGTGCTATGTCTGCGTCTTCCATCGGTGGGGAACATAGAACCTGAGGCTCGGCCGGGTTCGAAGACAGTGGTGGTGGTGCAGATCGCGGAGTGACAAGAGAAGGCGAGGTGACAGAGGTACTTTCACCAGGGCTTTTGATCCCACATAGTGCACGGTTTGTTACTGTCTGGAAGTGAGATTTGCTCGCATTTGTTGATCGTCGCTGTGTATTCTGATGTCTTGCAACGTGACATTTATTACATATAACTTGAAAAAGCTGATTTCGGATGTCGAGAGATTTTCGAAACACGTCAACGGATAAGCCAATGCACGAAGTATGGAACGAAACATCTCAGCCGGCGCACTGAAGTGCATGGGCTTTATGTCCAACAACTTTCGAACACGAGCCACTAGTAGCTTGAGACGGCATCACGAAGTAGAACAAATCCAAGGTGGCGGTTACAGACTGTAGTTGGGCCAATCACTTAGGTCTCCGGAATTAGTCAAAGCATAGGCACCAAATTTACACCGATTGGAAAATACGCCAAAAGAAGCATATTGGTACACAATCCACACAGAATAAACACTGACAACACAGTAATCCGAAGCAAAAAAGGTATCCATCGCATGGTGATCCAAAAATCGGCGACGTCCGTGGATACAGGACGCCGTTGATTTTCCTCTGCAAGGGCCAGATCATCAAAAACGTGTTTGCAGTAAGGTTCATTGTATTGAGTCGGCAGGATAGTGTCAAGCTGCCCAGACCTATACAGGGGAACGAGCTGGATTCTCAATCAAAGCCTTCGGTTCAAAAACTTGACCGCAAGGCAGCAGGTTTTGGTGCTGGACTACAGAGAGCCCGTTTTATAGAGTAAGGAGCCGCACTTCAACTTTCATCCTGGAGGATCTAGATGACTAGGTTTGTCAAGCATCTAACCATTGATCAATCTGCTATCAGTGACTCTGAAGGTCTAAACAGCACCATTCAGCATAGCTCCATGGAAAAGTGAGGCACACAATCTATCGCACCACTTTATGGTCCAGTCTCTTGGCGATGGAACGGAAATCACTACTGCATGCGGAAAGAACCGTCGGTTGCGAAAGTGACAGGCGTCGATGGTGGATAGCCCATCAACCTCGAGGGTATTGTGTTATAGCACATGTGATTATGAGTGCCTCAACCAAGCGGGTGTGGTAAGCCACCAGCGTCGCCACGTTGGACCAATATTTAAGAAAAGCTGAACATGCTAAATGTGTGGTCATCATCAGCGCGGTGCTTGATAAGCGCGATGCTTCCGATTCAAGTTACTAACCCTGTTCAATAAGGCGCTTGATGTGATACGTGTGCCACATCGTCGTCGCATTTGGTCTGTATATGTGCCTGCGTGTTGAGATTCTTGCATTCCAGGTGTTGTCTGTTGATTGATATCCCCGGCGTGGTTGCGCTTGATTTGTGTATTGACAAGGTGCTTACCAGTTTATTACCCACTACCGCACCTATATCGGCTCCAGGAAACAGTTATTCCTTGGTGGAGGGAAAGGGATGCACAATCCTCGTGATTGTGTTAGGCTCAAAGAGTGCTTCCATGCATCCAGTGTGGAACGGGTTACAACTAAGCCACCGCCTTGTGTACGTCTGCTACGCATAATTCCTCAATTAAATGTCTGCTTCTGCACTGTTTTTTGAATGACTGAGAGCTGGCTCCATTGATGAAAAGTGGCTTTCAACCATATGCCTCCAGGTCTTATTCATTTGGGTTTACCCTAGATATGGGGCTGTGGATGGAGCTGTGGCTAGTGCATTGCCAGCCACCCATGGCCCTCCTGTGGCTGTCCTATGGAGGACACAGTGACAGACAAATCCGGAACCGGATGCTGCCAACCATCTATCACAGCATTATACGCGTGGATAACCTATGGAAATAACGAGCTGCTAAACTTCTGTAACTGACTTGTTATTATCTGAATAGGACCGGGAACAGTTTCGACCCTAAGCATATCAATCACCTAACAATTCCCTGAATAACTAGCAACCCAAATGTTCCAATGCATTCCGACAATTCACCTCCACGCGAACCACTCGTGAGCGTTTGGTGACATCGATCGGAATAAACCAGCCACCCAAGCTTCATGAGCCGTCACGTGATAAGCCGTCATTTTGAATCAGACGCAGCCTAGCCGAGCACTCCAATGCCCTACGTAAAAGTGGTTCGTTTTGGATCACTATTCTTGTCAGTGACTACAATTTGCTTAGTCCTCCTTAAGGTAGCATCGCGTGACACAACTGTTAAGATAACTTATCCATCCCATTGGTATGAAAGCCGATCGGAGTTTGGATTCCCGTTTCACTTTAAAGCATTCTACATGCCTGTGTTCGCCGATTGGAAGACCAACTCGCCCAACTTAAAAAGCTGGCAGTATTTGAGCACCGGGAACTACGAAGTTCCGCGTTATGTGAAGGAGGGATTTTGGATACCGGACGGCTTCAAGTAAGACAATGGTGGTACTGAGCTCATTTTCCAATCAAATTAATTTTCTGTCCAGCGTTTGCGTGCTGCATTGTTGCCTAAATCTTCTTTTCTTAAGTGGCTGTCTACTTTATCAATAACAACAACAAGTTCAACGCTGACATGCTTACTTTAGGCTACTCGGACACATGCTTCTCATTTGGTACAGAAACCTGCAGTGTAGGTAATTTTTCGCTCCCTTTACACTTTTCCTCCGGGAAAGAACAGGATGTTCGGAGCAAAATATTACTGTACAGCTTCTTCATCACGGATTATTTTCATCGGACTTCAGCTGGGGTCAGTGGAATTGTTGCATACCCTGGATTCCGCAATGAGGCCACCTTGGCTAGCAGGTCGGACACCGCACCAGGTGTATCAAACCGTCGAAAAAATGAGTAGCTCACTTTAACTGCGATTTGTTACCTGAAGGGTGATACTGCCTCAAACAATGCCAGCTGTGTGATCTGATGCACTCTAGACACCGGCGCCTAATTAGTTGGTAAGCCTTAACTGAATTAGGGCGTTATGTCACTATTGTTGGATTATATCAGAGAGCCTGCCCTTCACAGGGTAATGCTCGCACATTTTAAGAAGGCACCGTTAGCTGTACTGTAACCACGACTTTTGCGCCCAACAAAAGAGCTAGGTTTCAAAAGGAATTTTCTGTGCTGAGGCGCCACTTATAGAACGATACTATTAACGAGCTTTACCTGTGTCCCATATCTTCGCTCTGGATGTCGGAGACAAGGGTAGGTCATTGTGTTTAACACTTCGTTGCCTTGACTGAGTTTGTTGGACTTGTTTGTTCATGCCTTTAATATACTTATACTGGCTGCTCCCTTGCTTATGACTTTGGCACCAATTGTTCCATCCCGCATGACTCAGCGGCAGTCGTGGCCTCCTCGACGCTTCCCGAAGTCAGTGTGATGTACCCACCTTTCATTTGGCTTATTTGAGCATGTTTGACTGTCCATTGGTTGTGTGGAACACTTCTGATCTGTAGGCTGTCCGTTTTACACTTTCTGCGTCCCCATAGGCACATTCCGTTACCTGCTACTTGGTAAGTCAGTACTGATGTCAATAAGCTGCTGCACACAATCTGTGGTACACTGGCGTAAGACTTTTTCTTCTCAAAGTCTGAGCTTTATCCTTTGCACTTTTCTTTTGTATTTTTTCTTTCGCTTGTCTGGATCCTCTCTTTCACCTCGGTAAAGCGCCTTTCTCTTTGTATGTTAACTACACGTAGAGTCATGACAATTCGATTCACTTCACTCCTGCGTTCAGATCACCACTGAGCAAATAGCTATAACAGGGCCCACTGAAGGTGGCAGGTCGGCTAGCCATCTGGTTGAAGTCGCCTAATTGCAAGGTCAGCGGATGTTAAACCTTAGTTGCTTGACTTCGATTGATTCTGACTGAGTCAGTCGTTGCACTTAACAGTACGAAACAAGCTCTTACGGATGTAGCCCTTCTCGGACTTGCATTAAATGTAAGTACCGTGGGCGAGTTTAATTGCCTCCTTTTCCCATTCGCCTTACCCTAGTATTGAAGATATATGTGACAAACTTCTGTTCGGCGGACAGTGATAAAGACAATTGTATCTGCCTCAGCTGGTGCCCTTGTCTTGCTCCGCTTTAGCGTTTGCTTTTGTAGGGAGAAGCTAATAGTGCATCACATAAAACATGGCATCAGATATCTGAGTGAAAGCTTGCCCATATATATATATATATATATATATATATATATATATATAAATCAAGTCTGAGTGTCTTTTGCTCTTTTCCAGACAATTCTGTGTTCCCGAGGCTACATCACTTTCATACGCTGATCTCATTAACCTTTTCACTGGCGAAGATTTGGCCAAGGACATTCATTATTCAATCAGGCAACAGTTCACCATGAGTGGAAAATATTATGATCAAGGATACTTTACTATACTGTATTATCTGCTCAACTTGTGTCAGTGTTTGCGAAAAAGAGTGAGTGTGGTTCATTTCGGTTTGACTAGTTTTATTAGAGATGTCGTTCCCGTTTTTCATATTTATTCCCCTAATGAACATAATCACAGCACATTGTGACTAGCAACGGTGACCCAGTTAGTAGGTCTGATTGCAACGAGATTGGATCTTAAGAGGGTGCAATGAGTTGTGTCTCTCTGTGATTTACTGAGCTACTCGGGACTGTGTTTCCGAAGCACTCTCAGTGCTACACATACCGGACAGGTCAATGGCGAAAAGTCAGACTCACTCCCACTAGTGAGTAGATGATTTTCTGACGAAAGATTACTGGTTTCTTGTTAATGTAGCGCACCACTAACAAGTTGCAGTAGTGCGAAACTGCCATCGGTTACTTCTCAGTTTGGTGCTAGACAACCTGCCTTATAAGCTGCTGGAACGAATAAGTAAAACACATTCCTCACCAGGTGCTTGAAAGAAGTTGATGGCCCACCTCCATCTATTGATGGGCGAGCAATATGTTAGTAAAAACCCAGCTCCAGTGGCTTAGAACACGAGCGTCCCACGGTGGGTGAGACCCACCACGCGGTTCAGGCCTGGCAGCTCCTGATCAATATAGCAAACTGGCCAAATCTTATCAACGGTTGACCGTTGTGACAGTTACGCCTTTTATTACGGTTGCGCAAATTATAACATTTTTAATTTTTTTGGTTTACATGTGTGTTATAACGCTGTACCCGCAATCGACCGGTTGATTCACGTCTGTTGCTTAATCTGCGCCCTTACGCCTGCATTGTTTGACGCCTTGACAAACCTGACAGGATGAAAGACGAAAGAAGACTCAGCAGACCAGAGTTGTATTAGGATCGAGAACGCTCATATTTATACGTCGGCCTCAGTAATCCTCTAAACATCGCCTGACGGAGTTAGCTGTAAGCCCACGCTCCACACTTGATTGTCCACTCCGTCTGGCCAGTTCGACGTCTTGCTCGGGCACGCCAGTCTTCATCCGCCTACCCGGGGCATGGCAACGCACATGAGATCTGACGCGCGATTTCATCAGCTTTCGGCTGGGCCCCGGCTCGGACGAGCAGACATGAAACGACGTCTATTGGCTGGTCTCACCGTCCAATATAAAGGTCAAATGGGGCATTCGTGAATAACTAAAGCTCAGGTTGCTTTGAGCAAGTCCTACACCCACATTCTTATCGCGGGTGACTTAAACGTGCATGGCATAGAAACGCCGGCAACCGACGGTACGCAGTTTAAAGCCTATTTGCAAGATCTTATTGCTAGCCACCCTCTTTACAACCACGTAACCTCTCCCACCAGATTTCGAACTTCTAACAAGCCGTCGATACTGGATCCTGCGCTTACTAACGAAGAACTCATGGTTGGCGGGATAGTTACAAGCACACCACTGGGTCGTAGTGATCATGTTACTCTACTCTTTGACTATGTTTGCTATGCGGAGTACCCTGAAAAGGAGGAGGATAAAGTGCATACTGTCACACACTACGATGTGTTGTCTAAGCTTGTTAAGGATGCATCTTGGACTTTCTTAACCGAATGCCCCCCAGATGTTGCCTGGGAAACATTTACAAGGACGTTTAGTACACTGGTAGTGCACGCATCATAGCAGAAGTCCTTCCAACCTAAAAACAAGCGTAATTCATTTCTGAGGAGCAGGACACATAAATGTATGTCCCGGGGGGATTTGGCATGGCGAGATCACCAGGACTGCCCGATTGCCGAACCCTGGACTGCATACGTGACCCATCGTAAGTTCTGTGTGAAGCTGATCCGCGAAGACAAGGTCACTCATCAGCAGAAGTTAATGAAGAGATTCTGCACGAATCGCAAACTCCTGTACAGACACGTTAACGGCCTTCGAAAGGTGAAGCGGGGGGTTCCGGCGCTAGTCACGGCTGATGGGTGCACGCGATCAGCAATGGAAGCAGCTGATCTCCTACGACTTCATTACTCCCGAACTTTCCAGGAGGTAACGAGCGCAAACATTCTCCTCATTTCTAATACTCCACCATCTGGTTTAGAAAACACCACCTTCACTGCGGAAGCTGTGTTGAAGAAGTTGCTACCCTTGCGTATCCACAGTTTTCCCGGAGCTGACAACATCCGACCAAAGGCTCTACAGGCAGTAGCTAGTGATCTAGCAGCACCCCTGGCTATTTCCTATCAGCGATGTCTAGAGGAGAACCGTATTCCACCAGTATGGAAGCGAGGGGTCATCACTCCTATTCATAAAGGAGGTAGCCGCACTGATCCTGCCAACTACCGTCCAATAACACTACTTCCAGTGCTATCCAAAGTGATGGAATCAATCATCGCAGATGCGCTGATGCAATACCTGGAAAGCCACAATTTAATAGCCGCAGAGCACCATGGTTTTCGTCAAAAGCCTTCGTGTAATACTAACCTATTAATTGCACGTAATAGCTGGACTGAAGCTGTTGATGATGGAGTAGGGGTCGATGTCATCTACCTGGACTTTTCAAAAGCATTTGCTCGTTTAAACCATCGCATTCTCCTTCACAAGCTTCGGAATTACGGCATTGGCGACCCAATCCTGAGTTGGATTGACAATTTTCTACAAGAACGACGGCTAGTGGTGAGAGTCCGAGAATCATTGTCTGATGCAATCGATGTGGCGTGCGGAGTACCACAAGGCTCGGTTCTTGGACCTCGTTTATTCTTGGTGTTCATTAACGATTTGGCGAGATCAATTACTTCCGATTTCCTATTTTTCTCTGGTGATATAAGATATGGCGAAGGATCAGAGGATCTTTCATCTCCCCTATCAGCTTAGACTGAAATCTCTAAGAATGTACAGCAGTCGATATCGGCTTTTGCGGAGGGATCTCATAATGGTTTACCAGATTCTGAAGAATCCAAACCACATTTGCCGTCCGCTGCTAGAATTGAACCACAACACTAAACTAAGAGGTCACCCTCTGAAACTGACAATTCAGTATAGCCGGCTTGAATGCCGTAAAATTTTCTTTTCTCTCCGCGTGTGACAGCCTTGGAACGTCCTCCCTAATTATGTCACCACTGCACCCAATCTAAGGATATCTAAAAAACGTGTTGACCATGCATTGTCTCACTTACATTTTTCAGCCAGGGACAACAAAACGCAATCAAGCGGTGTCTTGTCAAAAGCCTAAACAATGGATTTATGAATGTATACCTTTAATACGCGAACCTTTCCGCTATTCCACATAACTCCATGGTGAGTCCACCACAACGCTTTTCACTTTAATATGCAATTCATTTTCGCAATAAGTTCCATCCCACGGGACTTGTTAAGCAATGCTTCCTTACCTGCAAAAAACCATTATTAAAATGCAATCATTGGTCTGCGCGCAAAGCACTCAGCATCGGGCACTGGAACGTGCGCACACTACTGGACCGGAACTCGAGTGAGCGCCGCGAGCGACGCACTGCGCTCGTCGCGATGGAACTGGCGCGCTACCACATCGATATTGCGGCGCTCAGTGAGACCCGGCTCGCAGAGCAAGGTAAGTTGTATGGAGCTCGTGCTGGTTACACAATATCCTGGGTGGGCAACGCCGCCTCAGCACCACGTGATCATGGGGTCGGATTTGTAATATCCGATCGCGTCCATGGCCAGTTGGTGGGTGAACTAACAAGCATCAGCGTGCGACTGATGACTGTTCGACTACGACTCGGAAGAGGTAAGTTTGCCACGTTTATCAGCAGGTACCGTCTGACAATGTGTTATCCTGATGACACGCGTGATCAGTTCTACGCTGAGCTATCCTCCATGCTACGGTCTGTGCTGAGGATCGACCGACTATTTCTGCTGGGTGATTTCAACGCGCGCGTTGGGCGTAATGCATCGGTGTGGACAGATGTTATTGGTCCGCATGGCATTGGTTCGGCAAATGCGGACGGTGACAGGCTGCTCTCACTGTGTGCCACTCACGGCCTGACGATCACGAACACTCGGTTGACACTGAGTGCGAGTGATATAGCAACTTGGACGTACCCACGGAGTGGTCACCCTCACCTACTCGACTATGTCATCTTACATCATCGTGATATGCGTGAAGTGCGCATGACACGTGTACTGCGTGGAGCAGAGTGTGGCACTGATCACAAATTGGTTCGGACAAAACTGTACATATACATTCGTACACCTATGTATTGCACTCCCGCCGTGAATTCAGCGTAAAGTTGACATTCTCTCCTTCGGTACTGTGAAGAAACATATTGAGCAGGCGATGGCTGCACGCCTGTGTGATGTGGACTGCATAGCCACAGTGGGCGACCTGTGGCACCACATTCACGAACAGATGACAGCTGCTGCCGAGGAGACCATTGGGCGCGCAATCTGTAAGCTGCTTGATTGCTTTGATGAGAACAATGCGACAATTGGCGCTTTGGTGTGTGAGAAGAATGCAGCATTTGCTGTACATGTCGCAGATCCCTGTGACATGGTGAAGAGGAGTCAGTTTCGCAAACTTCGACGGCGACTGACCCGAGACCTTCGTCGCACTAAAAGTGCATGGTGGACGGAGAAGGCGAAGCAGATGGAATGTTACACCGAACGCCGGTAACACAAGGAATTCTTTGACTCCTTGAAGGCGGTGTATGGACCGAGATTGGAGCCGCTGAGGACGCTGATCGATGGTAGTTCAAACGATACTTGCACACATACTGCAGACATAATACAGATCTGGCGGAAACAGTTTGATTGTCTGTTGAGCAACCGTTAAGAGATCGACTGGCCTACTTTGAGTGGCCTGAAGCAGCACGATGTGAAGGCGAATCTGACGGACACGTCGACACTAAGTGAGAAGCAGAGGGCGCTTGCTCACCTGTGAGACTGCAATGTACCGGTGTCGACGGGATCCCGCTTGAAGTATTGAAACACGGCGGACCTGCGTTGGCGACTGCGCCGCACCACTTTGTGCAACGCGTGTGGATTGAGGAGAAGGTGCCTCCAGAGCTGAAGGATGCCCTTGTGCTAGCACTGTACAAGGGTATAGGTATCAAGCAATGTTGCACGAATCATCGTGGCAGCAACTTACTGAGTTGTGTGAGCAAGGTGATTGCTCGAATCCTGTTAAACCGTAGTT